TCCCATGTCCACCAGTCCTTTCACACTCACAGCTGACTCCCCCTGTCACTACCTCCCAAGGCCACCAGTCCCTTCACACTCACAGCTGACTCCCCTTGTCACTACCTCCCATAGCCACCAGTCCCTTCACACTCACAGCTGACTCCCCCTGTCACTACCTCCCATAGCCACCAGTCCCTTCACACCCATAGCTGACTCCCCCTGTCATTACCTCCCATGGCCACCAGTCCCTTCACACACATAGCTGACTCCCCCTGTCACTACCTCCCATAGCCACCAGTCCCTTCACACTCACAGCTGACTCCCCTGTCATTATCTCCTGTAGCCACCAGTCCCTTCACACTCACAGCTGACTCCCCCTGTCATTACCTCCCATGGCCACCAGTCCCTTCACACTCACAGCTGACTCCCCCTGTCACTACCTTCCATGGCCACCAGTCCCTTCACACTCACAGCTGACTCCCCCTGTCACTACCTCCCATAGCCACCAGTCCCTTCACACTCACAGTTGACTCCCCTGTAACTACCTCCCATGGCCACTAGTCCCTTCACACTCACAGCTGACTCCCCCTGTCACTACCTCCCACAGCCACCAGTCCCTTCACACTCACAGCTGACTCCCCCTGTCATTACCTCCCGTGGCCACCAGTCCCTTCACACTCACAGCTGACTCCCCCTGTCACTACCTCCCATGGCCACTAGTCCCTTCACACTCACAGCTGACTCCCCCTGTCACTACCTCCCATGGCCACCAGTCCCTTCACACTCACAGCTGATTCCCCTGTCACTACCTCCTATGGCTAGTAGTGTAGTGTATAGTGTAGTGTATTAGTAGTGGTGTATCGTAGTGTAGTGTATACTGTAGCGTATAGTAGTTTAGTGTATAGTAGTGTAGCGTAGTGTATAGTAGTGTAGTGTATAGTAGTGTAGTGTGTAGTAGTGTATAGTAGTGTAGTAGTGTTTAGTAGTGTCGTGTATAGTGGTGTATAGTGTAGTGTATAGTAGTGTATAGTGTGAAGTAGTGTATAATGTAGTGTATAGTAGTGTATAGTAGTGCACAGTATAGCAGTGTAGTGTATAGTCTAGTGTATAGTAGTGTAGTGTATAGTAGTGTACTGGTGTAGTAGTGTATAGTGTAGTGTATAGTGGTGTAGTGTATAGTGTAGTAGTGTATAGTGTAGTAGTGTATAGTGTAGTAGTGTATAGTCTAGTAGTGTATAGTGTAGTAGTATAGTGTAGTAGTGTGTATTGTAGTAGTGTATAGTGTAGTAGTGTATAGTGTAGTAGTGTATAGTCTAGTAGTGTATAGTGTAGTAGTGTATAGTGTAGTAGTGTATAGTGTAGGAGTGTATAGTGTAGTAGTGTATAGTGTAGTAGTGTATAGTGTAGTAGTGTATAGTGTAGTAGTATATAGTGTAGTAGTGTATAGTGTAGTAGTGTATACTGTAGTAGTGTATAGTGTAGTAGTGTATAATGTAGTAGTGTATAATGTAGTAGTGTATAGTGTAGTAGTGTATAGTGTAGTAGTGTATAATGTAGTAGTGTATAATGTAGTAGTGTATAGTGTAGTAGTGTATAGTGTGGTAGTGTATAGTGTAGTGTATAGTATACTGTATAGTGTAGTAGTGTATAGTGTAGTAGTGTATAGTGTAGTGTATAGTATACTGTATAGTGTAGTAGTGTATAGTTTAGTAGTGTATAGTGTAGTAGTGTATAGTGTAGTAGTGTGTAGTGTATAGTGTAGTAGTGTATAGTGTGTAGTGTAGTAGTGTGTAGTGTAGTAGTGTATAGTGTAGTAGTGTATAGTGTAGTAGTGTGTAGTGTAGTAGTGTGTAGTGTAGTAGTGTATAGTGTAGTAGTGTATAGTGTAGTAGTGTGTAGTGTAGTAGTGTATAGTGTAGTAGTGTGTAGTGTAGTAGTGTGTAGTGTAGTAGTGTGTAGTGTAGTAGTGTATAGTGTAGTAGTGTATAGTGTAGTAGTGTGTAGTGTAGTAGTGTGTAGTGTAGTAGTGTATAGTGTAGTAGTGTATAGTGTGGTAGTGTATAGTGTAGTGTATAGTATACTGTATAGTGTAGTAGTGTATAGTGTAGTAGTGTATAGTGTAGTGTATAGTATACTGTATAGTGTAGTAGTGTATAGTTTAGTAGTGTATAGTGTAGTAGTGTATAGTGTAGTAGTGTGTAGTGTATAGTGTAGTAGTGTATAGTGTGTAGTGTATAGTGTAGTAGTGTGTAGTGTAGTAGTGTATAGTGTAGTAGTGTATAGTGTAGTAGTGTGTAGTGTAGTAGTGTGTAGTGTAGTAGTGTATAGTGTAGTAGTGTATAGTGTAGTAGTGTGTAGTGTAGTAGTGTATAGTGTAGTAGTGTGTAGTGTAGTAGTGTGTAGTGTAGTAGTGTGTAGTGTAGTAGTGTATAGTGTAGTAGTGTATAGTGTAGTAGTGTATAGTGTAGTAGTGTATAGTGTAGTAGTGTATAGTGTAGTAGTGTATAGTGTAGTAGTGTATAGTGTGTAGTGTATAGTGTAGTGTAGTAGTGTATAGTGTAGTAGTGTATAGTGTAGTAGTGTATAGTGTAGTAGTGTATAGTGTAGTAGTGTATAGTGTAGTAGTGTATAGTGTAGTAGTGTATAGTGTAGTAGTGTATAGTGTGTAGTGTAGTAGTGTATAGTGTAGTAGTGTACAGTGTAGTAGTGTACAGTGTAGTAGTGTACAGTGTAGTAGTGTGTAGTGTAGTAGTGCATAGTGTAGTATTGTATAGTGTAGTAGTGTAGTGTAGTAGTGTATAGTGTAGTAGTGTATAGTGTAGTAGTGTACAGTGTAGTAGTGTACATTGTAGTAGTGTACAGTGTAGTAGTGTACAGTGTAGTAGTGTAGTAGTGTACAGTGTAGTAGTGTATAGTGTAGTATAGTGTAGTAGTGTATAGTGTAGTAGTGTATAGTGTAGTAGTGTATAGTGTATAATGTAGTGTATAGTGTATAATGTAGTGTATAGTGTAGTAGTGTATAGTGTAGTAGTGTATAGTGTAGTGTAGTAGTGTATAGTGTAGTAGTGTATAGTGTAGTAGTGTATAGTGTATAATGTAGTGTATAGTGTAGTGTAGTAGTGTAGTAGTTTATAGTGTAGTAGTGTGTAGTGTAGTAGTGTATAGTGTAGTAGTGTATAGTGTAGTAGTGTATAATGTAGTAGTGTATAGTGTGGTAGTGTATAGTGTAGTAGTGTATAGTGTAGTAGTGTATAGTGTAGTAGTGTATAGTGTAGTAGTGTATAGTGTAGTAGTGTATAGTGTAGTAGTGTATAGTGTAGTAGTGTATAGTGTAGTAGTGTATAGTGTAGTAGTGTATAGTGTAGTAGTGTATAGTATAGTAGTGTATAGTGTAGTAGTGTATAGTGTAGTAGTGTATAGTGTGGTAGTGTATAGTGTAGTAGTGTATAGTGTAGTAGTGTATAGTGTAGTGAATAATGTAGTAGTGTATAGTGTAGTAGTGTATAGTGTGGTAGTGTATAGTGTAGTAGTGTATAGTATAGTAGTGTATAGTGTAGTAGTGTATAGTGTAGTAGTGTATAGTGTAGTGTATAATGTAGTAGTGTATAGTGTAGTAGTGTATAGTGTAGTAGTGTATAGTGTGGTAGTGTATAGTGTGGTAGTGTATAGTGTAGTAGTGTATAGTGTAGTAGTGTATAGTGTAGTAGTGTATAGTGTAGTAGTGTATAGTGTAGTATAGTGTATAGTGTAGTATAGTGTATAGTGTAGTAGTGTATAGTGTAGTAGTGTATAGTGTGGTAGTGTATAGTGTGGTAGTATATAGTGTAGTAGTGTATAGTGTAGTAGTGTATAGTGTAGTAGTGTATAGTGTAGTAGTGTATAGTGTAGTAGTGTATAGTGTAGTAGTGTATAGTGTAGTAGTGTATAGTGTAGTAGTGTATAGTGTAGTAGTGTATAGTGTAGTAGTGTATAGTGTAGTATAGTGTAGTAGTGTAGTATAGTGTAGTAGTGTAGTGTGGTAGTGTATAGTGTAGTAGTGTATAGTGTAGTAGTGTATAGTGTAGTGTATGAATAAGTAACACTTAGCAAGGCAGGCGTTGTTCAGTGACGCTGGGAACGTGCGTGTTTAATCACATTGACACAGCAGTACAGTGTGACAGCGGTAGTGTCACAGTGTCACAACAGTACAGTGTCAGTGTCACAGCAGTACAGTGTCACAGCAACACAACAGTACAGTGACACAGCAGTACAGTGTCACAGCGGCTAACAAACGGATCTTGACGTCAATTCATTCCAGCGCTGCAATCTCGAATCGTCCTTTTGTTTCACAAGCGTCATCAGCAGCGTCATCAGCAGCGTCATCAGCAGCGTCATCATCATCAGCAGCGTCATCAGCATCACCCATCCTCCAGCTCCTCCCCCTCCCCATCCAGCTCCTCCCCCTCCCCTAGCTCCTCCCCCTCGTCCAGCTCCTCCTCCTCCTCCAAGCTCCTCCCCCTCCTCCAAGCTCCTCCCCCTCCTCCAGCTCCTCCCCCTCCCCATCCAGCTCCTCCCCCTCCTCCAAGCTCCTCCCCCTCCTCCAAGCTCCTCCCCCTCCTCTAAGCTCCTCCCCATCCAGCTCCTCCCCCTCCTCCAGCTCCTCCCACTCCTCCAGCTCCTCCCCCTCCTCCAGCTCCTCCACCTCCCCATCCAGCTCCTCCCCCTCCTCCAAGCTCCTCCTCCTCCTCCAAGCTCCTCCCCCTCCTCCAGCTCCTCCCACTCCTCCAGCTCCTCCCCCTCCTCAAGCTCCTCCCCCTCCTCCAGCTCCTCCCCCTCCTCCTGCTCCTCCCCCTCCCCTCCTCAAGCTCCTCCCCCAGCTCCTCCCCCTCTCCTCCTCCACCCCCCTCACCCCCCTCCCTTTCCACCCGCCCCCCCCCCCACACTCCCCGCCTCCCCCCCCCCCACCTCCTCCTCCCACCCCTCCTACTCCTTCACCCCCCACCACCCCCACCACCACCCCCTCCTCCCCCCCTCCCCCACCCCCCCCGCCGGGGCCCCTCCCCCTGGTGGCCACGGCCTCCAGGGCCTTCTGCTGGCGCCGGAGCTTCTTGAGGCGCCGACGTTCCGCCTCCTCCTCCTCGGCCAGCAGCTGCTGGAAGCGGCGGTCTCTGTGGTCCCCGGCGCCGCCGGTGGTGCCGAGCCGCTGGTGGAGCCGCTCCACCAGCCCGGCACGCCGCTGCCGATCCACCAGGGCACGACCACGGGCCGCCAGAGACTCACGGCGCCACGCAGACACCGCCGACGGCATCGAGGCCATCGCTGTGGAGATGCGGGACGCACTGTGGGGTGGGTGGTGGGTGGGTGTGGTGGTGGTGGGTGTGGTGGGTGGGTGTGGTGGGTGGGTGGGTGAGTGGGTGGGTGGGGGGGTGAGTGAGTGGGTGGGTGGGTGGTGAGTGAGTGGGTGAGTGGGGGAGTGAGTGGGTGAGTGGGTGGGTGGGGTAGTGGGTGGGGTGGTGGGTGGGTGGGTGAGTGAGTGGGTGGGTGGGTGGGGTGGTGGGTGGGTGGGTGGGTGAGTGGGTGGGTGGGTAGGTGAGTGGGTGAGTGAGTGAGTGGGAGAGTGAGTGAGTAGGTGGTGGGTGAGTGGGTGGTAGGTGGGGTGGTTGAGTGAGTGGGTGGTTGAGTGAGTGAGTGGGAGAGTGAGTGAGTGGGTGAGTGAGTGGGTGAGTGGGTGGGGTGGTTGGTGGGTGAGTGGGTGAGTGAGTGGTGAGTTGGTGAGTGGGGTGGTGAGTGGGTGAGTGAGTGGGTGAGTGAGTGGTGAGTGGGTGGGTGGGTGAGTGGGTGAGTGAGTGGGTGAGTGAGTGAGTGGGTGAGTGAGTGGTGAGTGGGTGGGTGGGTGAGTGGGTGAGTGAGTGGGTGAGTGAGTGGGTGGGTGAGTGAGTGAGTGGGGGAGTGAGTGGGTGGGGTAGTGGGTGAGTGAGTGGGTGAGTGAGTGAGTGGGGGAGTGAGTGGGTGAGTGAGTGGGTGAGTGAGTGGGTGGGGGAGTGAGTGGGTGAGTGAGTGAGTGAGGGAGTGAGTGGGTGGGGTAGTGGGTGGGTGAGTGGGTGGGTGAGTGGGTGAGTGAGTGGGTGAGTGAGTGGGTGGGTGAACAAGGGGAGAAAGACAGAGTCAGAGTCACGGGGAAATATGGGAAGAGAGACCCACCCACCAACCCACCCACCTCAACCACCCACTCACTCACTCACCCACCCCACCCACCCACCCGCTCGCCCACCCACCCACCCGCTCACCCACCCACCCACCCATTCACCCACCCACTCACTCACTCACCCACCCCACTCACCACTCACTCACCCCACTCACTCACTCACCTACTCACTCACTCACCCACCCACTCACTCACTCACCCACCCACTCACCCACCCACTCACCCACCCACTCACCCACCCACTCACCCACTCACCCACCCACTCACCCACTCACCCACCCACTCACCCACCCACTCACCCACTCACCCACCCACTCACCCACTCACCCACCCACTCACCCACTCACCCACCCACTCACCCACTCACCCACCCACTCACCCACCCACCCACCCACTCACCCACTCACCCACTCACCCACTCACTCACCCACCCACTCACCCACTCACTCACCCACCCACTCACCCACTCACTCACCCACCCACTCACCCACCCACCCACCCACTCACCCACCCACCCACTCACCCACCCACCCACTCACCCACCCACTCACCCACCCACTCACTCACCCACCCACCCACTCACCCACTCCACTCACCCACTCACTCACTCACCCACCCACCTCACCTCACCCCACTCACCTCTCCCTCCTCCTCTGCTCTTCCTCCGCCTCCCTCCGGGCGACGTTCGCGAGCTTCTCCCCCAGGGTCGCCTCCTCCTCCACCGCCTCCACCTCCGCCGCCCAAGCCCACAGTGCCCCGGGGTCCACGCCGCTCCGCTGGGCCCCGTAGCGCCCGAACGCCTTGCGAAGGGCCTCGGGCGAGCTCCGCCAGTCCCCCGTCAACCCCTCGGGGTCCCGCGGCGGCGACTCTAGGCGACGCGGGGGGCCCGAGCGCGGCCTAGCGAGGGGGCTGCCCGGGTCCGGGCCGGTCTCGGCCGAGCTCAGCCGCTCAGCGGTCGCCTCCTGCGGGGGCCGAGCTAGGAAAGCCCGGGGGCCCGAGTGCGGCCCAGCCTGCGGGCCCGTGTCGTAGCGCAGCGGCGGGGCCCTGTAGGCGCGGCTCTGCGGGCCGAGGGCGGCCGCGGCCGGCGGAGGGCAGCGGGCAGAGGCCCCCGGCGCGAGGCGGGAGCGCGGGGAGGCGTGGGGAGGCGGCCGGGCGAAAAGTCGCAGCCACGCGCGAAGCGGGGACGCCATTGCGGAAACGGCGTGAAGGGCGACGGGATTCCGTAGTGCGGATTGGTGCGCAGTGGTTGTAATTTCACAGTGCGGATGGGTGTTGCGTTTGGATTCCGTAGTGCGAATTGGTATGTGGTGTTTGGATTGCGTAGTGCGGATGGGTGTATGTTGGATTCCGTAGTGGGGATACGTTTGCGGGGGTTTGATTCCATAATTCGTATGGGTATGGGCGTTACATTCCACAGCGCAGATGGGTATAGGCGTTTGATTACATAGCGCAGATGGGTATGGGGGTTTGGTTCCATAGCGCACATGAGAATAAGGGTTAGATTCCACAGCGCAGATGGGTATCAGAAGGTTTGATTCCATAGCGCACATGAGAATGAGGGTTTGATTCCATAGCGCAGATGGGTATGGGGTTTGATTCCATAGCGCACATGAGAATGAGGGTTAGATTCCACAGCGCAGATGGGTATGAGGGGGTTTGATTCCATAGAGCACATGAGAATAAGGGTTTGATTGCATAGCGCAGATGGGTAAGGGGGTTTGATTCCATAGCGCACATTAGAATGAAGGGTTAGATTCCACAGCGCAGATGGGTATCAGGGGGTTTGATTCCATAGCGCACATGAGAATGAGGGTTTGATTCCATAGCGCAGATGGGTAAGGGGGTTTGATTCCATAGCGCACATTAGAATGAAGGGTTAGATTCCACAGCGCAGATGGGTATGAGGGGGTTTGATTCCATAGCGCACATGAGAATGAGGGTTTGATTCCATAGCGCAGATGGGTATGGGGGTTTGATTCCATAGCGCACATGAGAATGAGGGTTAGATTCCACAGCGCAGATGGGTATGAGGTTTGATTCCATAGCGCACATGAGAATGAGGGTTTGATTCCATAGCGCAGATGGGTAAGGGGGTTTGATTCCATAGCGCACATTAGAATGAAGGGTCAGATTCCAAAGCGCAGATGGGTATGAGGGGGTTTGATTCCATAGCGCACATGAGAATGAGGGTTTGATTCCATAGCGCAGATGGGTATGGGGTTTTGGCAAAGTCACTTTGGTATAAAAAAATAAAATTAATGACGACATTTCGGACGGATGTCATTCCTAACATTGCAATATCCTGGAGTCCTCTGAGGTCTAACAAAGTAAAGCATTTGTGACGATGTGTGACGATGTAGGCTCACATGACATGTAGGCTCACGTGACATTGACTTCTCCAAGACAGAGGTTCTTTGTAAGCCATCTGGCTACCATGAGAGATTCGTTCATGAGGCTATCCACATGTACAAGCACAGAGACACAATTTCAACCGAGAAGATGGATTCTGGGCTTAGCAATCATTGGAAGGATTTGATAAACCATTTCAGGTCTTAATTGATTGTTCACGCTTACGGTGGCTTTCAGACAGCAGACATTAATTTTTCGTCTCCCCCATTCCTCTTTTCAGAACATAGATGAACTAGTCCTTCTAAATACACCGTTTAAAAATAAATAAATTAATGCGAACCCACACACCTGATGACGACCGTTTGTGTTATGGTCGAAACGTCGTGAGAATTTTTTTATTGTTTTATATATTTTATTGTTTCCCTTCAACGTGGTGGTGACTTTACCGAAAGAGCTAAGAATATAACTTTAAATAAATATAGACAACACGTTCTACTTATATTCTCGGTTCTTTCGGTAATGTCAAGTAGAAGGGAAACAATAAAATAATATAGATAATATATGTATATAAAATAATGTATAATACATATATAATTTTATTGTTTTATATTTTTATTATTTTATTGTTTCCCTTCTACGTGGTGGTGACTTTACCCAAAGAACCAAGAATAATAATTTTATTGTTTCATATTTTTATTTCCCTATCTACGTGGTGGTGACTTTACCCAAAGAACCAAGAATAATAATTGTATTGTTTTATATTTTTATTATTTTATTGTTTCCCTTCAACGTGGTGGTGACTTTACCGAAAGAGCTAAGAATGTAACTTTAAATAAATATAAACACGTTCTACTTATAGTCTCGGTTCTTTCGGAAATGTCAAGTAGAAGGGAAACAATAAAATAATATAGATAATATATGTATATAAAATAATGTATAATACATATATAATTTTATTGTTTTATATTTTTATTATTTTATTGTTTCCCTTCTACGTGGTGGTGACTTTACCCAAAGAACCAAGAATAATAATATTATTGTTTTATATTTTTATTATTTTATTGTTTCCCTTCTACGTGGTGGTGACTTTACCCCCAAAGAACCAGGAATAATAATTTTATTGTTTTATATTTTTATTATTTTATTGTTTCCCTTCTACGTGGTGGTGACTTTACCCAAAGAACCAAGAATATGAATTACTGCTGTCACGAAAGTTTTAAATAAAAAAAAATATACTTATTATACGTGTATTAGGGTTTACGATAGGCCATGCTTATACGTGTTAGGGTTTTACAACCGCGTATCCCTCCCTATACGTGTTGCGATTTCTAATCGCCCGTGCCGACGCGCGCTAGCTTTTTTTTCTGCACTCGGCTCGCGTGCCGGCGAGTTCGATTGTAAATGGTAGCGCGCTTAGGCGCCGCATCCGATTGCATTTCGCAGTGCGGATAGGGCAGCGTCGGCTGCGGCGGCCCTCGATCGGCA